CTAATATTCCAACAAGCCTGACTCCTAATATTCCAACAAGCCTGACTCCTAATATTCCAACAAGCCTGACTCCTAATATTCCAACAAGCCTGACTCCTAATATTTCAACAAGTCTGACTCCTAATATTTCAACAAGTCTGACACCTATTATTACATCAAGTTCAACTCCTAATATTTCATCCAGTTTAACACCAAATCTGAGTACAAATCTAACTCCAAATCTGACACCGAATCTCACTCCTAATCTTGATTCATATTGTGAAATTTGTCAAAAAGAATTCTGTAATAAATATTTCCTTAGAAAACATAAGCAAAAAATTCATGGTATAGTTGATTTAAGTCAAAATCCTTCTCCAATAACTAATGATGTTAAAAATGTAACATTTACATCTTCATCAAATTCTCCATCCTTTATTGCCTCTGCAGATAAGTCAGTTAAATCTGTTCAAGATCTGTTAAACGATCATGTTAGAACTGAGAATCATAATGGACAAGAAAACCAAAGAATTCAAATACCAATTTCTCAAGTTGCAAATCGCTTAACTTATTTTCCATTGCCTCCTAGCAGTGATGATAAACAAAATTCTCAAGATTCAAGCACAAATGAAAATAAATCTGCTTTCACTAAAGATAAACTTCGAGAAATGGGAGTGATTAATTTAGAAGCATTTTGTGAAATATGCTGCAAAGAATTTTGTAACAAGTATTTTCTTCGTACTCATAAATTAAATATGCATGGAATTGGAACACCAGAATCTCCAAATAAAAATCAAAATCCACTATCTCAACCTCAGATGCAGCCTCTTCAGCTTACTACAACAGATAAATATGATGCATTGAATAATGATAAAGAAAATGAGTATAGAATTATTGAATCTCAAGGTGAAAATTTAATGACCACTACTGGAACATCAGGAGAACTTTCATGTAATATATGCAATCGACCATTTGCAAGTCCTTATTTGTTAAAAATGCATAAATTTTACACACACAATATTCCATTTAATAAAGAAGAAAATCAATCATACTCTTCGTCTGAAGAACAAGAAAATCATCAAAATAGGAATAATGAACCTCTTCAACCACCACCTTTTCAAGAAAATAATTTAATTCCTGATGATACAGTTAGTCAAGATCTTCAAAAATTACAAAGTATGATAAAAGAGTTAAATGCTTCTACAGTTCTTGAAAGTAATAAAGTATGTTGTAATTTATGCCATCTAGAGTTTGATAACAAATATTTTTTAAGAGCTCATGTAATGAATGAACATGGAGTTTTAACAAATGAAGATGGGAATGTACATTCTGTTAACAGGGAAATAAATCCTACTGGAATAATTTGTTCTGGAAATAGTGAAATACCACGATCTAGTAACTCTACAGCAATCTCAGACATAAATTCTAGAGTTCGTTGTGAAATATGTCAAAAAGAATTTTGTAGTATGTATTTTCTAAAAAGCCACAAATTAAATATTCATGGGATATGTCCAGATAATAATTCAGTTTCAAAACCATTGCTTCCCATGCCTGAAGATCTAAATATAACTAAAAGTGAAGGAAATTCTGTTAATTCATCTACTTCTAAATCACCAATAATAACTGGAAGAAATTACTGTAACATCTGTAATAAAGAACTCTGTAATAAATATTTCATGAAGACCCATATGCTAAAGATGCATGGAATTGATGTCGAAACACAGGCAAATGAAGCAGCACTTAACAGCAGCATAGGTGGAGTTACATGTGATATTTGCCAAAAAGAATTATGCAGTAAATATTTCCTAAAAGTTCATAAACAAAATACTCATGGTATTGCTGAGGAACCATCTGTTACCTGTAAAGAGTCTACAAGTTATTCTAATCAATCAGATAAGGAATCCTTGGCAAAAAGTGAAGAAAGTGATTTCAGTAGTCGTTATTTTAGTTACTATACAGAAGTCTGTCCTATCTGTGATCGTCGTTTTAAAAGTATCAAATGGTTAAAAACTCACATGATAAATGATCATGGTGAAATCATAAAAGAGAAGCTCTGTCTTCAAATAGAAAATTTTAATCCTAGCAGTAATCTTTTTTGTTTTATCTGCAACCAAATATTTGCTGACAAAATTGCCCTTCAGATTCATTTAATCAAAGATCATCATACCACACCCGAAGATTTGGGTATTTTAAATAACTCAGGGACAAAATTACAACCCACTTCCTCGAGTGTAGTAATGCCTGATTTACCAGACATGAATGGAACTTTAACAGCAGCAAATAATTCCCTCCTCAATGATCCTCAATTGCACAATAAGCGGTTAGGTGGGAGTAGTACAAGAATTTACCACTGCTCTTATTGTGTATATTCCACTCGTTGGCTGTCTAATTTGTATGCTCATGAGAAAAGACACACAGGAATCAATATTGAAGGAGAAAAGAAGTTTGTATGTAGAATTTGTTATCGAGCATATCGATATAATCATTCGTTGCAGAGACACATGTTGAGTCACAAATCAGTCGGCCTTTCTTTAAAATCATCACTGTCAACATGTTCACCCCAACAGATACCAAATTCAACACTTTCTTTGCTTTCAAATACCAAAGAAAACATTCCAAATGATATACCAGAAACTCAAGATCAACTGAAAATCAAAAGATATCGTTGCAGTAAATGCAACAAAAAGTTCCTTACTAGAGAGATGTGTCTGACCCACATCCATAGTACACACAAGGGGAGAAGATTAGACATCACTCAACAGAAATTTATTAAATCATTCCGATGCCATGTATGTAATTTTGTAACAAGAGCTTGGAATATTTTAAAAATACATATCAGAAAACATCATCCTCAGGAAGTTAATGATAACGAGGAAATAACTGAACTCCCAACCAATGCCATGTTGGAATATCCTACCTCAGTGGGTACTTCAGCAACTGGAGGTTTACTCTCAACACACCTTCCTATGACTTATGCTATGCCTCAGAATCCTCCTCAGTCGGGCTCGTACATCATGCAACCATTTCTTCTTGCTCAGCCAGAAAAGGATGGAAATTCCAAGGGTAATGCTTTTGTACCCTCGCTAGTCTACCTCCCAGTGTGCCAGAAAGTATTGCAACCTTTAACGGTACCACTTACTTTGACTCCTGCTTGAAAGTAATATTGAATTTGGCATTTTTTATGCACAAAAATATTGTTGGAATATTTAAATGAGCATATATCACAAAAAAAATTATTCCAACAATATACTGTTATAAATTATGAATGGCTGAATCATTACATAGTCAGATACCTTTTTATCATCTGATGTTGAAATGTTGCACTAACTGTTAATAATTAGTTTGTGCAAAAGAAAAGGAATATCAAGTTTTCCAATAATGTCTACCATAATATATATTACTTATATATACCATATATATTTATATATTATATATGTGGAGTTTTAAACTAAAAATTGTTTAGGATCAGTTTAATTTTTTAATCATGTTAGAATTATTTTATACAAAAACAGTAATAATCTAAACAATTATATTAATGCATTTACAGCATTTTTTATACTTTATTTTTTAAAAAAATTTATTATGGGGACATTATTTGAATNGGCCGTTGGCTTTTTGAAAGTACAGCCACTGATTGGTCAGCAGACAATTACGCCACACGGTATGATTTGCATAAGACTATGGCTTGGGAATCACAGATTTGCATAACGTTATGGCTGGTGATGGCTAATTGGTCGGCCGGAATCACGCCACATGACATTTGCATGGTGCTACGGTTCAGTAAGCACTAATTGGTCATCGAGTCCGATATTGACGCTATAAAAAAGGCGACAGTTCGACACACCGGATATACGTAGATACTAGATCAGTACAAAATATTGCCAAGATATATAAACATTTATTATATTATATATGTAAGAATAGTGGTAGAAATAACAATAATATGCCAGTGTTCATAACCGTCTTCAAATTATGGATAGAATGATAATGTTTTAGCATCTGTAACTGTCTTTAGTCCTCTTCATGCCGTCTCCATCTGTCATCTCCCTTCCCATTCTCCCTCGTCTCCTCTGCAATCCCTTGTTTATTTTCTAGACAGTTTAGGTTAGTACCATTTTGACTTGTATTCTTTTATTTTTTTTATTTTGTATGAATGTATTTATTGTGACTTACTAAGATACTATAGTCACATTTAAACTAAATTTAAATTTTTTATATTTCAAAAAACTTCTTTACTCAACTGGATAAACATGAATTACTGCACAACAAAAACCTTCATTTTAACTCTGGTTAATTAAGATCAAAAACACTTGTCAAGTTTATAAATTTAAAATAAATTATTTACTGTAATTATTAAGGTTTTATGTTGTGTAGTGAATTTTTAAAATTATTTTTAGTGGTGCTATTAATTTTACATTAATAAAATAACTTTTATAAATGTATATCTTGATTAATATATTATTGTAATTTAAAATATTTTATTTAAAATTTTAAATAAAAGATAAATCTGTTTAGTAATGACTCATGCATCAGACTGAAATAAACTAAATTCTATTAGATTATTTTAAAAATTTATCATTAAATGATAATTTTGAATGTTACTTTTATTAGTTTATGAAATTATTGAACTATTATATAAAGTTTTTTGACAAGAATATTATCAAGTTAAAAAATATGAGTTAGTTTTAATAAAATTTTCTTAAAGTGAGATTTATGTTTTAGATTTAATTTATTTTGGAATGAATCTCTAGCATATTTATACTTGATGTGAATTACATTGATAAATTATGAATTTCAAAAATGATTTTTATTAACTTATAATTATATCTTCAATTATTATTTTTGTTTCTTAGGTACTATGAAACTTCATCATTTAAAACAGTCCTCATGAATAACATCTAGATCACTAGAAAAAATTTATTTGACTTCCCCTTTTAATTCTGAAATGGAAGTAAATCAAAGAGAAGAGGATGGGAATTACAAAATTACAGAGAGTATTTCACCTTACAAACAAAACAATCTACCTCATAACACATTCCCACTTTTGGAAAGTCAGGAATTATTTGATGAAGCAAATATTAATGAATTCCAAAATAAAAGTACATCTTCCTGTGAAACAGGGTATCTAAACGAACCAAGAGCAAAAAAGAGACGCAAACAGAGCAATCCACTGAGGTATCAGACAACTCTGTTGTCAAATTTTGATGATGATCAGGAAGATTATTTGGTTAACAATAATTCCGAAGATACTGTAACATTAGAAGAAAAATGTAGTGAGAAAGAGCAGTTAGATCATGTGGGTAATTTTCAGTGTCAGCATTGTTTAAGAACATTTTCGACATCAGATATTCTCAGAGTTCATCTTGAAGAAGAACATGTTTCGAAGTTATTGGAAAAACAACTACATAAACAAGCTTTCAATAAATCTGCTTCAATAAATGAACAAGAAAATAATTTTGATCTTGCAAAGGATAATTCTTCTCCTAATGATTGTCCACTACAGTTTTCTAATGAAAAGTGGTTATATGGTAATATTTCTAACAATAATTCTCAGGAAGATAAAAGCACTCCATTTTCATTACCAAATATTCCACCTCTTGTTGCTGTATCTGAAGGAGTAGAAAATCAGTCAAGAAATATCTCACTGCCTTTACCCATGTTTCATAATTCTATGACACCATTATTTTTTCCTGTTTCACCTCACGCCCAAAATTCATCTTTAGCAAATGGAAATTCCAATACAAGCACAGGTCTTCGAATATTTAATCCAGAAGCTTATTGTGAACTGTGTAATAAAGAATTTTGTAACAAATATTTTTTAAAAACTCATAAAGCGAATAAACATGGCATTTATTCTTTGGATTCCATAACCAGTTCATCCTGCTCAAGAGCTTTCAATACTAATGGATCTAAAAATTTGCCTATATCTCAGTTTCTACCAACAGAATTTCCTTCAACAGTACATACTACAAATATGACTGCTGGTTTGACAACCAATTTAACTGCCAACTTGACTTCTAATATTACTACCAGTTTAACATCTAATATTACTACCAGTTTGGCACCTAATATCTCAACAACTTTAACTTCTAATATTCCAACAAGCCTGACTCCTAATATTCCAACAAGCCTGACTCCTAATATTCCAACAAGCCTGACTCCTAATATTCCAACAAGCCTGACTCCTAATATTCCAACAAGCCTGACTCCTAATATTCCAACAAGCCTGACTCCTAATATTCCAACAAGCCTGACTCCTAATATTCCAACAAGCCTGACTCCTAATATTCCAACAAGCCTGACTCCTAATATTCCAACAAGCCTGACTCCTAATATTCCAACAAGCCTGACTCCTAATATTCCAACAAGCCTGACTCCTAATATTCCAACAAGCCTGACTCCTAATATTCCAACAAGCCTGACTCCTAATATTCCAACAAGCCTGACTCCTAATATTCCAACAAGCCTGACTCCTAATATTCCAACAAGCCTGACTCCTAATATTTCAACAAGTCTGACTCCTAATATTTCAACAAGTCTGACACCTATTATTACATCAAGTTCAACTCCTAATATTTCATCCAGTTTAACACCAAATCTGAGTACAAATCTAACTCCAAATCTGACACCGAATCTCACTCCTAATCTTGATTCATATTGTGAAATTTGTCAAAAAGAATTCTGTAATAAATATTTCCTTAGAAAACATAAGCAAAAAATTCATGGTATAGTTGATTTAAGTCAAAATCCTTCTCCAATAACTAATGATGTTAAAAATGTAACATTTACATCTTCATCAAATTCTCCATCCTTTATTGCCTCTGCAGATAAGTCAGTTAAATCTGTTCAAGATCTGTTAAACGATCATGTTAGAACTGAGAATCATAATGGACAAGAAAACCAAAGAATTCAAATACCAATTTCTCAAGTTGCAAATCGCTTAACTTATTTTCCATTGCCTCCTAGCAGTGATGATAAACAAAATTCTCAAGATTCAAGCACAAATGAAAATAAATCTGCTTTCACTAAAGATAAACTTCGAGAAATGGGAGTGATTAATTTAGAAGCATTTTGTGAAATATGCTGCAAAGAATTTTGTAACAAGTATTTTCTTCGTACTCATAAATTAAATATGCATGGAATTGGAACACCAGAATCTCCAAATAAAAATCAAAATCCACTATCTCAACCTCAGATGCAGCCTCTTCAGCTTACTACAACAGATAAATATGATGCATTGAATAATGATAAAGAAAATGAGTATAGAATTATTGAATCTCAAGGTGAAAATTTAATGACCACTACTGGAACATCAGGAGAACTTTCATGTAATATATGCAATCGACCATTTGCAAGTCCTTATTTGTTAAAAATGCATAAATTTTACACACACAATATTCCATTTAATAAAGAAGAAAATCAATCATACTCTTCGTCTGAAGAACAAGAAAATCATCAAAATAGGAATAATGAACCTCTTCAACCACCACCTTTTCAAGAAAATAATTTAATTCCTGATGATACAGTTAGTCAAGATCTTCAAAAATTACAAAGTATGATAAAAGAGTTAAATGCTTCTACAGTTCTTGAAAGTAATAAAGTATGTTGTAATTTATGCCATCTAGAGTTTGATAACAAATATTTTTTAAGAGCTCATGTAATGAATGAACATGGAGTTTTAACAAATGAAGATGGGAATGTACATTCTGTTAACAGGGAAATAAATCCTACTGGAATAATTTGTTCTGGAAATAGTGAAATACCACGATCTAGTAACTCTACAGCAATCTCAGACATAAATTCTAGAGTTCGTTGTGAAATATGTCAAAAAGAATTTTGTAGTATGTATTTTCTAAAAAGCCACAAATTAAATATTCATGGGATATGTCCAGATAATAATTCAGTTTCAAAACCATTGCTTCCCATGCCTGAAGATCTAAATATAACTAAAAGTGAAGGAAATTCTGTTAATTCATCTACTTCTAAATCACCAATAATAACTGGAAGAAATTACTGTAACATCTGTAATAAAGAACTCTGTAATAAATATTTCATGAAGACCCATATGCTAAAGATGCATGGAATTGATGTCGAAACACAGGCAAATGAAGCAGCACTTAACAGCAGCATAGGTGGAGTTACATGTGATATTTGCCAAAAAGAATTATGCAGTAAATATTTCCTAAAAGTTCATAAACAAAATACTCATGGTATTGCTGAGGAACCATCTGTTACCTGTAAAGAGTCTACAAGTTATTCTAATCAATCAGATAAGGAATCCTTGGCAAAAAGTGAAGAAAGTGATTTCAGTAGTCGTTATTTTAGTTACTATACAGAAGTCTGTCCTATCTGTGATCGTCGTTTTAAAAGTATCAAATGGTTAAAAACTCACATGATAAATGATCATGGTGAAATCATAAAAGAGAAGCTCTGTCTTCAAATAGAAAATTTTAATCCTAGCAGTAATCTTTTTTGTTTTATCTGCAACCAAATATTTGCTGACAAAATTGCCCTTCAGATTCATTTAATCAAAGATCATCATACCACACCCGAAGATTTGGGTATTTTAAATAACTCAGGGACAAAATTACAACCCACTTCCTCGAGTGTAGTAATGCCTGATTTACCAGACATGAATGGAACTTTAACAGCAGCAAATAATTCCCTCCTCAATGATCCTCAATTGCACAATAAGCGGTTAGGTGGGAGTAGTACAAGAATTTACCACTGCTCTTATTGTGTATATTCCACTCGTTGGCTGTCTAATTTGTATGCTCATGAGAAAAGACACACAGGAATCAATATTGAAGGAGAAAAGAAGTTTGTATGTAGAATTTGTTATCGAGCATATCGATATAATCATTCGTTGCAGAGACACATGTTGAGTCACAAATCAGTCGGCCTTTCTTTAAAATCATCACTGTCAACATGTTCACCCCAACAGATACCAAATTCAACACTTTCTTTGCTTTCAAATACCAAAGAAAACATTCCAAATGATATACCAGAAACTCAAGATCAACTGAAAATCAAAAGATATCGTTGCAGTAAATGCAACAAAAAGTTCCTTACTAGAGAGATGTGTCTGACCCACATCCATAGTACACACAAGGGGAGAAGATTAGACATCACTCAACAGAAATTTATTAAATCATTCCGATGCCATGTATGTAATTTTGTAACAAGAGCTTGGAATATTTTAAAAATACATATCAGAAAACATCATCCTCAGGAAGTTAATGATAACGAGGAAATAACTGAACTCCCAACCAATGCCATGTTGGAATATCCTACCTCAGTGGGTACTTCAGCAACTGGAGGTTTACTCTCAACACACCTTCCTATGACTTATGCTATGCCTCAGAATCCTCCTCAGTCGGGCTCGTACATCATGCAACCATTTCTTCTTGCTCAGCCAGAAAAGGATGGAAATTCCAAGGGTAATGCTTTTGTACCCTCGCTAGTCTACCTCCCAGTGTGCCAGAAAGTATTGCAACCTTTAACGGTACCACTTACTTTGACTCCTGCTTGAAAGTAATATTGAATTTGGCATTTTTTATGCACAAAAATATTGTTGGAATATTTAAATGAGCATATATCACAAAAAAAATTATTCCAACAATATACTGTTATAAATTATGAATGGCTGAATCATTACATAGTCAGATACCTTTTTATCATCTGATGTTGAAATGTTGCACTAACTGTTAATAATTAGTTTGTGCAAAAGAAAAGGAATATCAAGTTTTCCAATAATGTCTACCATAATATATATTACTTATATATACCATATATATTTATATATTATATATGTGGAGTTTTAAACTAAAAATTGTTTAGGATCAGTTTAATTTTTTAATCATGTTAGAATTATTTTATACAAAAACAGTAATAATCTAAACAATTATATTAATGCATTTACAGCATTTTTTATACTTTATTTTTTAAAAAAATTTATTATGGGGACATTATTTGAATTCAGACAATTAAGTACTTTTCAAATTTACTCAAGCGTTCAAAAAAATATTTTAAAAAATCAGTTATTATTAAATGAAATTTAATAAATTGTTCACTTATGGTCATAAAATCTAATATAATTTGAAAGAAAATTTATTAACATTAAAAAAAATGAATTAAAATTTTTGGATGGTTGATTCAAATTTGAAAAACATTACTTAATTGACTATCAGATAATTCCTTTTTATAAGCACATTTGTTATAATCTTATTTTAAAAAAATAATAATAATAATCTGCATTGAATTGAAATTTTTGAAACAATTTGAATCTTTTAAACTGCAATCTTTATTGACAAGCAATGGTGCATTTTCATATTGTTAGTAATTCATTAGAGATTATATATGTTTCTCACATTAGTGTAATATTAATGCAACAACTGTTGTCACTATGGGAGGTAGAAATTTAGACATTATATTAAATTTAATTGGCATTATGTTGTCCTTTGCATAAAAACGAGGATGTTGAAAAGGTGATAAAAAAATTTTGTATTTTGTCTTCATTAATCCATTTTGTGCCATGAAGACAAATTTGATATGTTGGGACTTCCATCATCTGTCCTCGTTGAACTCAGGGACCTGTTATAGCACAATCAAATTGGAAGTTCCCATTGGTGAGGACAGGAAGATGATTCTCCTTGTTTATTTCTAGGAATAAAAAAAAAATGACTTTTAATGCAATATCTTAGAACAAATATTTAAAAAAAAATGATAAATGGCAGCAACATTTTTAACTGTTCTCACATGGGAGTAAATGTTGATCCGAGCCTCATTTTGTAATTTGTTTCAAATGTTACATATTTGCACCCATAAGGCTTGTCATTCACTAATCAAAAGAACATTTCGAATGTAATTTTGCATTCGGGATGGTCCTATTAATGATCGATTGTATTTCCTTATTCTGCTTATAAATTTATGAAGTTGTTTATCAGCATAGTATAAAAGATATATTTAGAGAGAGATTAGTCATTATTTATTTCTGAAAGGAAGATAGGGAATATGGATCGATTAGTAAAAAAATAAACTGCTGTGTATTTGTCTTTTTGGCATTTTAGCAAGTTTTAGAATCATGGCAATTTAATCGGCAAGTTTGCATTTTTACAACTAAAGTAACCAGGGAAGGATTTTATAGATAGTTACTAAAAATGATTATTTTGCCTTAAATTCTATATATATATATATATGGTGTTTTGCACAACGAGGTCACAGAAGCAAACTTTCAAAATATAAAATATGACAAAAATCAAAATTGATCAAAATGTTTAACCTTGCATCTGTGATGTATTAATAAGTGAGCTCTAATAAGCTCCAAGTAAACTAGTCTTTCTAGTCATTTGTTTTTAATACCTTCTAATTTAGTCAAAAGAACATATTTAAAAAAAGTCCAGTCTTCTGAAGTCATTGAATTGTTAATTCTGGGACCACAGTCGTAATCAAAATGTTCATGTTGTGGTATCCAGATTAGTCGAATAAATGGCAAAAATCAAACCGGGGTCTGTCGTACCCCAAATGCACACGCTGAACGGGTAATGGTTGTACTGCTTGTTAGATGATTCACTGTAGTCAGTGATAACGTTATGTTGCATGCCACTTACAGTGAGATGATGCCTTGCATGTTACCAATATCATTATGATGCCTTTCATGTTGTCTAATATCAATCGTAAAGTTTCTTAATACCCACACACCGGTCGTATTCCGGTATTAAATAATTGAATATCTGCTATATTATCCGGTTCGTTATCGACCTTAGATTAATACGAATCATGAGTTCATGAATTAAAAATCCTTTTTTATATATATACACATACACACACACACACACACATATACATACACACACACACANAACAATGTTAATTTTTAAAAATTTTACAAATGTTAAAAATTTAACAAAATTTGATTAATATACTATATACTATAAGTAAATTCTTATTGTAATCACTTTGGAATTGCCTATACAGATGACATTAAGTGGTATAAATAAATAAGGCTACAATAAGTGGAAATTCTGGTTCTAATGATCCTGATATTATAAAACAAATATGCTAGAAAAATTAAAAAGTATATTACCTGAAGATTTATTAATTATAATTCATCCATTATTTTTTGTTGTTCTGTTCTTTTGAAGTATCATTTTTAACAATAGTTATTGTGTAAGTGAAGCAATAGGTTTAATTAATAATAACATCAAATTGTAAGTACAGGTACCTAGTAGTAGGTGAAAATCAAAGCTAATGGGTAAATGTTGTGTATTAGTGATATATAAGTTTTCTCAAACAATGCTGAAAAACTAAAAAATAAAGTAATTTCTTCTGCTTCTAAAATTGCAAGCTATTGGCACCGTATTGTAAAAATGGAAATTCATACTGCTTTTTCAGATAGCTAAATGTTTTAAGTTTTTTAGGCCAGCTTCATTTATAGAAATTCTTGTAATTGAACATTGAATGTTATACAATAGATCAACAGCTTAAATTCAAATTAATGCATAAAAATAAGTATTAAAATACTATTTAAAACTAACTAATCTAATTAATTTACATTACATTACTTAATCCAAGTGTATGTATATATCAATATGTGTGTGTGTGTGTACACCCTGTATATATATATATATACAGGGTGTATCAGAATGACATTTTAAAAATTTGGGGGATTGTAGAGGATGAAATTTTGAACATTTTGATATAAGGAACCTATAGCCAGAAATTTGAACTAAAGTGTCTACAGTGGTAGGAAGTGCTTGACCGCCCTTCACTTTGGTAGCTACCCTTATGTTCATTGACATCATGTTATTGCTGCAGATGGAAAACTGTAAACACACAACTACAGTGGTCTAACTGAGCCTGTGTATTTAGTGCTTATCATCCTTTAGGTCACCCCTTGCATCCACTGGCACTGTGCTGTAAACATACAGTCAATGTGAGTCGAAGTTAGTGGTCATCACATTGAACATTTACTCTAAAGTAGTGTAGCCACTGATTCGATGTACAGTTTGATTCTACTGTTTTGTCAATAAAACTTGTCATAAATACTGTATTCTACTGTTTCATTCAGCATACTGACCGCATAGAACGTACAAAGTGTTAGAGAACTTTATATCACATTTCCGGCTATAGGTTTCTGATATCAAAACGTTCAAAATTTCATCCTCTACAATCTCCCAAATTTTTAAAATGTCATTCTGATACATCCTGTATATGGGGGGTTAGATGAGTAAAATTCCTAAACTGTCTAGAAAATAAACAAGGGATTGCAGAGGAGACGAGGGAGAATGGGAAGGGAGATGACAGATGGAGACGGCACGAAGAGGACTAAAGACAGTTACAGATGCTAAAACATTATCATTCTATCCATAATTTGAAGACGGTTATGAATGCTGGCATATTATTGTTATTTCTATCACTATTCTTACATATATAATATAATAAATGTTTATATATCTTGGCAATATTTTGTACTGATCTAGTCAGTCTAAAAGTACCTTCCCTCTGCACAGATACATTTGCTCCAGTGGTGTTCCCAATCCTTGAAAGTTTATTTATTGTTTATCAATAAAAATCATAGTATGTCCTAGTAGAAACTTAATCATTCTCTTTAACATTAAAATTATTTGTCCTTGAATTATATATATATGAACATATGCATTGTATATATTATTATTGAAGTGCAATTACCATTTTGACTTGTATTCTTTTATTTTTTTTATTTTGTATGAATGTATTTATTGTGACTTACTAAGATACTATAGTCACATTTAAACTAAATTTAAATTCAAGTTNTAAAATTGACTAAAAATATTGTAATTTTCATTTTCTACTTATTTTTTTTGAAAAATTTTATGAAACTGAAATATTTGATGAATTAAAAATCCTTAGATGCTATAAAAGAATTATAATCCCTTCAAATTTAAACATATCAGAGACATTCTGTCATATCTATGTTATCCTTCAGCACTTAAATTACGAGTTGTTACTTAGAAATTAAAATTTTAAGTTAGTTTAACACTTAAAAAGTTAATTTTAAGTGTTATACGCACTGAGATTTCTTTAACATTACATTTTAAACTGTAGATTCATGTACCTATATTGTATTTCTTTAATTTACAACGTAGACATTCAAACATAACCTCTATGTCCAGGGCAGGATCTGTTGAAGGGTGGATAGGATAGTTTGCAGAACTGCCTCAAATGGACCTATAATCAATGTGCTAGAGTGGACAGTGATGATGAATTTTCAAATTTGGATATGTACCCTTTACTATTTTACAACACATAAAACCTTAAGTGTTCTGTTCAGCCCTGGTTTCTCCTTATTAAAGCAATTAATAAGCTGAATTTAACCCCAACCTGTATATATACAGACATGTCAAACCTGTAAACAATGACNTTTCTCCCAAAATGATTTTATTTTGTTGGTTATTATAATTATAATTAATTATTAAGAAATCTGTTCTGATTTGGAAATCATTATAGAATATGTAAGTTGGATACCCTGTGAAGTGTTGTGAAAAATGTTGTAGTCAACCATTACTATGATGTTTAAAATATTTCTACGTATCGTCGAAAAATAGAGCATTTTCTTCGGCATGCAATGCACACTTTTTACGTTGTTTGTCCGTGTAATCTTTTTCTAGTTATCACCAGTGGTTTTCGACATCATCTATCGTTGTTCTCACATTCGTGTCTGCAGCATTCCATTTTCTTTTTATTCGAATTTGTAATATGCTCAGAAGGAATCGGCTTCCTAATTCGATTACTGCTTTAAAAAAACAAATAATAACAACATCTACCTCATTAGTTGATTATTATCATTAAAAAGTAATATAATATATTAAAA